TTTTTTTTTAATTTGTTTAAAGTCGCATAAACTACTAAGGTCATGAGCGACTACGGTAGGAGGTAAACTTTTGAGATTGGAACTTGTTTGTATTTCTTGGGCTGAGCAGAATAATATACACTTAAATATTGAAAATATTCATTGGTGTACGCCGGATTCGAACCCGGTCCAATGCTTTGGTAGCAAGGGCCGGATCCGATAGGCTACTGCGCGCCTCTTATTTTTATTTATAGAATTTTTGGAGGAAATTAATTTTGTATTAAAGTTCAATTTTTTTTTGTTGGTAAAAAAAATAAAATTAAAAATTATTTTCATAATTTTTTAATAAATAATTTGAAAATTAATTTTTTTATTCAAAAATTCTTATAAATATTTATTTTTTTTTTTTATTACAAAAATTTTTATTGAAATAATTTCGGTCATTAAAATTATTTTAATTTATTTAAAAAAAATTTTTTATGTCCCTTGAGTTAGAATACTATTCTATAACATTCCAAGGTGATTGGATCAATAAAAATGTTTTACTGTCGTTAATAAATTTTTTAATAGCTGTATGATATCGCGCTGATAATGTTTTTCAAGATATTAATTAAAGTTTTTAATAACAAACAAAAATGATAACAAATCAAAAAACATATTTTTTTTATTCTCTGTCCTTTTTTACAAATAAAATAATTAAAAACAAATAAAAATTTGATTTCTTTATTCTATAAAATCAATTTTAACCCGAATTCTTTAGAACAAAAAAAACATTAAATTTAAAGTGAAGTTTCTAGAGTTAAAATGTAAACTAAAATATGGAAATCAGGCGTCAAGTTTTGAGCATCTCCTGTTTATAAAATGCTGAATTTACATCTAATCATTGTTAATATACTACAAAAAAAATATTTAAAATTTACTTTATATTCTTGAGCGTGCTTTACGGAAGAAAGTATTTTTAAAACAATACTCAAAAGTGTAGTTTTATAAATTTTTAAGTACGGAATTTTGTTAGAAAAATTCTAAAAGGAATTTTGGTCTAAAGACACAAATTTTTATTTTTAAAATGCAATATCAATGAAAAAAAAAATAAAATTTTAACCCGTTGAGGACACACGTAAAAATTACGTTAAGGACTAAATATCTTAATAGTTATTTTTAATTTCTAATAATTTGAAAATACTGAAAAATCGTTTAGAAAAAAAAACTTACGAAATTGAACTTTTTTTATAAAAAAAGTCGCAGAAATTTTGATTTTTACGATATCGAAAAAAAACCGACGCCATTTTATTTGGAAAACAATATATTTTGAGGAAAAAAATCAATATTTGATGAAGTTTGAAAAAAATATATTTATTCTGAAGTTTGAAGTTACGAATTTCGGTCAGTCGCTTAAAATGAGAATAAGACATTTAAACATGCAAAATAATATAGAAAGATTTAGTTTTTTGTCATAAAACTCTCTTATTATAATAATTACAATAAAAAAATAGAAATAAGGTAAAATGCCGAGTAGTTTAACAGGTTTCAAAGTAAAACGTATTTGACTCTACTTTTAATAATATATAAATATGTAATTATTAGTTCAAATTAGTGATTTTATGAAAATATAAACAATTTTTGAATTGATTGAAGCGC